GTAAAAGTCCTTGTAAGCTATGTTTGGTTGCTTGAATTTTAAATGGAAAACAGTGAAAATACACAGAATGGTAATATGAAGCACAATGTGTTAAGTCTCATGGATGACCACCAACTCCTACCAGGCTTTTCCTTGAGAATCACAAGATATATTAATTAGATTTTCAATGGACATCTCTAACCTCCATTTTCCTGTTTCCATTTTGACCATAAACAATTTATCCACATAAAGATATCTGACCCCAGTTCAGAATCTCAAATCTGGTAACAGAGTGATGCACAAACTGGTACATCACCAGAGTTCAGTCATGCTACTGGCATAATGAGAGGGACAAGGACAATCATTTCCTGCTTTTCTGAGTATTAATTATTCTCTGAAATTTTTAAATTTTTAAAAATTTGTTTATTGTTTTTAATTGTTGCCTTATAGCTATACATGTAGGTAAAATTCATTGTGGTATATTCATATATGTACTGTTTGAAACAGTTTTTTTTTTTCTTTTGCCTCTTGCAACTAAAAAGCCTAACAAGAACAATTAGAGGAGGAAAAGTTTATTTGGTTCATAATTTTAGAGGTCTCAGTCCATATATGGCTGATTCCATAGCCCTGGGCCTGAGCTGAGGCCAAACATCATGGTGGAAGAGTATGGGGGAGGAAGCAGCTCAGGCCATGGCAATCATGAAGCAGAGAGAGAGCTGAGCTCAACAGAGACAAAATATAAACTCCCAAAGCATTCTCTGTTCTTAGTAACCTGTAGCTATCCAACCTGCTTATAGTTAGCTTTCAGTTAATCCACATAAGTGAATTAATGCACTGATCAGGTTAAGGCTTTCATAACCCAATCACTTTATGTCTAAAATTTCTTGCATTTTCTCACATTTGAGGTTTGGGGACACAGCATATCCAAAACATTAGTATGTACATAGCATAACTTTATCAATTTAATTCAGTAATAATTCAGTAATTCCTTCCTTTTCCTATCTCTTCTCCGTCCTCCTCCTCCTCCTTCCTCTATTTCAAGACTATCTCTTCTACTTTCATAGGATCTACCCTCCCTTATTTTATTTTGCTTCCTCAAATGAGAAAAAAAAAATCCTCTACTTTCTCCGGCTGACTTATTTCACTTAGCATAATATTCTCCAATTCCATTCATTTACCAGCAAATGCACTAACTTTATTCTTTTTTGTAGCTAATAAAACTTTATTGTGTATACACACCACATTTTCTTTATCCATTTACCTGTTGACAAGCCCCCAGGCTAGTTCCACAACTTTACTATTGTAAGTTTCACTGCTGTAACCATTGATATGCCTATCTCACTAAAGTATGCTAATTTTAACTCATTTGTATAAATACCAAGGAGTGTGACAGCTGGGTGATATGATGGTTCCATTCCTAGTCTTCTGGGAACTCCATACTGCTTTCGAGAGTGGTTACATAAATTTGCAGTCCCTCCAACAATGCATGAATGTACCTTTTCCAACACATCCTCACTAACATTTATTATTATCTGTATTATTGATGATTTCCATTCTAACTGGAGTGAGGTTCAATCTCAGTGTACTTGTAATATGAATTTTTGTGATGGCTAGGAATGTTGAAGACCTTCATATATTTGTTGGCCATTTTAATTTGTTCTTTTGAATACTGGTTTAATTATTTTGCCAAGTTATTGACTGGGTTGCAGCTACTCTCATATCTGACAAAGTAGTACTCAAGTCAAAATTAATAAGGAGAAACAAAGAAAGTCACTTCATACTAGTTAAGGAAATCATTTAACAACAAGATATTTGAATATAGTTTGTAAATATTTATGCTTCAAATGTCAGCACACTTACCTACATAAAACAAACCTTTCTCATTGTAGATAATCAAATAGACCATGATACAGTAATACTGGGTGATTCTGACCTACCTCTCAACATCTGATAGGCAATCCAGACAAAAACTAGGTAAGGACTTTTCAGAAGTAAAAAATATTGTTAATCAAATGGACCCAACAGATGTCTATGAAATATTTCATCAGTTAACAACAAAATTCACCTTCTCAGTTAAAATGGACTTTTTCTCAATAGACCATATTATAGGACACAAAGCAAGTCTTAGCAAACACAAGAAATAAAGATAATTCCTTGAGTTCTCTCAGATTGTGATGGAATGAAATTAGAAATTAAGAGCCAGATAAAAAACAAAACCCTTTTTTACACCTGGAGACTAACTAAGTAATACATTTTTTTTGAATGAGGAATAGATCATTGGAGAAATTGTGGAGAAATAAAAAAAATATGCTTATAAACAAATGAGAAAAGAGATACAGTATATCAAAAATCTCTGGGACAGTCTGAAGGAAGTTCTAAGAGGAAAGTTTATAGCATTAAGTGCCTACATTAAAAAAAGAAAAAAAATTACAATAAATAATCTAATGTTATACCTCAAGCCCCTAGAAAACAAGAACAAACTAATTCTTTCTTAAATTCTTACTGTTTTTTCTTTGGTTAGCAGTTATGTTTTTACCTTAGTCTTTTACATTCAATACTCTTTTGAATAAGTTATTTAACTTCACCTTTCATAAGTAGCAAATAACAGTGTTGATATATTAACTCATCATTGATTCCTCCCTTGACTAACCCAAGTTGGCTTATCTTCTCCTTTTTGATTCTGTTAAAGCCTATGCTTATTTCTCTGTAACACTCAACAGAGAGTTTGTAATAAATTTGAGTTCAACTTTCTGATAAATAATCTATACACTCTGTCTAAGCAATGATTTAACCTCCCTGAGTTCAAATGTTATTTATTGTTTACCTCTAAATTCTTGTCACTTAGTAAAGAATCTGGCATGTATTATGTGCTCGTGAAATTTTGCCAAAAGATGGGATGACTGAAAACTTTTGAGACTCAAAAATTTAAAAATCTTTCTTCCATGGTCCACAGTCTGGGGGGCAGAAGAGAAACTGAGTATGCAGCTGTGATTTTTTAGATCCTTAGTACTGTAACAAGTTATGTACAAATACAGTAAGTCAAATTCACTTAGAGAATACAATGGCTGACAAGCAAGATGTAGTTTGCTTTCTGCCAATGGAAGCACCCCTCCTAAGCTTATCAACTTCCATATTACAGCAAGTCTTTTCAGATACTTCTGCTAACTGATGGTTTGATTATTTCAGATTATTCAAGAGTTTGTATATGTCCCTCTCAGTTAATAGAATGGAAAACTGACTTCTATATCAATCTTGAACTTGGGCAATGTGTATCTGGGCCCAAGACCTGGCCTAGTGTTAGCATGCTATTAGATAAAGAAAGAAAAATACTATTGATATTAGACAACTAAGAACCATGTCTTGGATGATAGCTGTAACTAAGATTTTTCTATTGCATGTGTTTTTATAAGAGTTCTAATCAAAATGTTACCAATTATAACCTTTTGGCATTATTATTAAGAATATATTCCTTTGGAATGAAACATACTTGAATACTCCAGTTTCAAGAAGTGCATTATAAACTAAATATACCAATGCAAGTCACAAAAGGAGATTTTGCATTTAAAAGCAAACTGTGAATTAGAGTAGCTCATTCTAAATTAGGTGACCAGTGATTAGTACCTGAAAGAGGTTTGATCAATCATTTTGAAAGGCCCCACTTTTGTTTTCTTGTTCTTGGTGACATTTTGCTTTCAGTGAACAATGGAGTCTTTAAGAGGAAGCTTCTTCCACCACATTTTTTTAAATCAACACAAGTCTTAGAACATTTTTGTCCAATTACCACTTTCTTTAGCCACCAGAGCTCAGTCAGCAGTCAGCATAGAAAAGTGATAATGAAAAGATAATATCTAACCAGGCCACACTACCCTTCAAAAGAACAAGACACATATAGAATGCGTGTTTTTGTCTGACTTTGACTTTCATTTCCCATTATGCTTGGCTTAGAACATAGCAGATGTTGATAGCCACCATAACAGAAGAGAAAGCAGTGACACATAGAGGGATAACACTGAAAAGTATCTTATGTTGTACTGATAGCTTTGGGTTATAATACTTCAATAGTTATTGGCTCTTTCTCTGAGTTATCATGTGCAATGACCTGCCTCATTCGGATACTGAAATGAAGTTCATTCTACTTGATAAATGAGATGATTTAAAGAAAGAAGAGTTATCTGAGACTATTATAAAGGCAAAAATGGGATGTTTCAAATTGCTCTTATAATTGCAGGCAACATGGAGATTCATATAGATGGAAACTAACAGATCATTTTACTGCTCTCAGACTAGGATAACTATTTTATGTATGTTATAGAATAGGATACTCACAAAGGTACTCCAAAGTAGGGGTTATTAGATCTATTTTAGAGATGTGAAAATAGAGGTCTAGAGAGTTTAATTAACTTGCTTAAGATAACCCAGTTATTAAGTGAAGCATCAAAGATTGAACAGATATACTTCTGTACTAACACCAATGTCAGCTTCTCAAAATATAAAAGACTCAAGAAATAGAGGGTAATTTTTAAACCTCATGTGAACAGAAGAGTGTCCTAGGATGGTCACTTATACTAAAGGATATTGAAGTACTAAGCAGCAAAAAATATCTTTAAACAAGTGATTTTAAGTTATCCTGAGTTAAAGAAGTTAATGAATCTTCTTTACTATTTGAATTATTGTAGTCTTTAATGTGAATGATATATCTCTGAATATGTATAGAGGATGTAATAGTCTTCAATTTATTTGTTTTCAGAAACTTTTTTCTTCAGAAACATTTTATAAGATTAATTCTTCATGAAACATGTAGTGGAAAGCACTTACTTTTATGGGTTAGATCTGGAATATCCCCCAAAGGATCTTGTGTTGAAAGCTTGCTCTCCAGTTCAGCAATATTCAGAGGTGAGACTTTTGAGACGTAGTTGGATGGTGAGGGCTTTAATCTCATTGGTGGACTAATCCATTGATGAATTCAGAACTATTATGGTTTAGTTATGAAATGTCCCCCAAAGCTCATGTGTCAGGCAATGCAAGAAAGCTTAGAGGTGAAATGATTGCCTAATCTGTACATTAATCCCCAATGGGGATTGATGGAGTGGTAACTGTAGGCAGGTAGGATGTGACTAGAGCAGTTTGGTCAATGAGGATGTGCCTTTGGAGTTTATATTTTGTCCTTGGTGAGGGAAGCATGCTCTCTCTCTGCTTCATGGTACCATGTCCCCAGCTGCTTTCCTCCACTGCACACTTCTTCCAGGATATTCTCCTTCAACTCAGACCTCATGGAATGGAGTTGGCCATCTCTGGAATGAGACCTCTGCAAAATAAATGTTTCCTCTTCCAATTGTTCTTTTTTTTT